TTTAGTCAGCTTAATGAGAAAAGAGCTGCAGGTTATGTCAGTGTCAGCATGGCTTGCATCGGTCTTGGGTGCTTTGTTTTAGACGTTTAAAAGCCTTGAAGACTGGGACCACATCCTGGTGAACATGACGCAAATGCTTCTTGTGAAATAGCAAAGCATCGGCTGTTCTGTCACTCATCCACTGAAGTCATTGCCAAGGTTTCCTTTTTCCTGCCAACCACAGATCGTCAATTGTGTCCTTTTTATTTTATTTTTTTATATTCTAGCACGTCTCCTGTTTTTTGTATGGATACACGTATTAATGGTTACATCACCGATCTGATATCCAAATACCACCCAAAACGTACTCTCCGCTCCTCACAAGACCTCTTACTTTCTAGTTCCCTGGTCTCCTCCTCCCGTGCCCAACTCCAGGACTTCTCCAGGGCTTCCCCCATCCTCTGGAACTCACTACCCCAATCCATCAGACTGTCACCTGCCCTACTCACCTTTAGGCACACCCTGAAAACCCATCTCTTCAGGGAAGCCTACCCCGCCCTCAGCTAATTGCCGATCTTCTCCACTCTTCCTACAACTCCATCCCCCACAGCTATTTCCTCCTGTACCACTATCCCCTCCCTCCTAGATTGTAAGCTCCAAGCAGCAGGGCCCTCGAACCTCTTGTGTATTGTATTGTATTGTTACTGTACTGTCTCGTGTACTGTCTCCCATTGTAATATACTGAGCGAATGTTGGCGCTATATAAATACTGTATAATAATGGTTTAAAACAGTAGAAATGTGTTTTTAATATGTTTAAAAGCAGTATAATATATATTAGGGTATAATATGCGGTTATAATATAACTGATATGTTGAAATAACACAATTGAGGACCTTTTTGCACGGGCGTTGTGAAAAAATGTGTGTTTTACTGCACATTGCTACAATAACGCATGGGTATATGTGCATAACTGCTGCATGCCATTGTTTCTGAATGGCATCCCAATGCCCACGTCCTGTAGATCCCAATGCATACATCATAGTGCACTACAACTTGCACTGTCCATAATTTTATAAGGGCACTCCATTCTAAAATGGGAAAAACTATTCTAATAGTTTTATATTAAGCAACTACATCCACACATGTAGGACACCCAACGTTAGAGGTGATTTATTCTTCCAAAGCAAATAGACTTTTGCACACTGGTACTGACTAGTATACCAATGTTTCTCTTCTTCCCCCAGTTTTTATCCATCAATCAGCTAATGTGACCCCAGCACTGATAGAGAAGGAAAGGGGAGGGTCAAACAAGAATGCTGTGCAGGCAACTGACATTCTCCTTATCAATGGATGATGTCATTGGTTGTCAGGATGCCGGCAGCTAGAAGGTTGTAATGGTGCACAATGAAAACCTGTGGCTTTGTGTAACTAAAAGACAGGCTCATTCCACCTGCTGGTTTGTATACAAGTTTTGGGAATGTTTTTAGACATTTTGCCAAGGCACCCCTGAAGAAACCTCAAGGCACCCCAGGGTGCCTGGGCACTCTGGTTTAGAAAGGCTGACTTAACCAGTAGAAGAGAAATTCTGAAAGTAGGATGCTGGAGGGAAATCACCAAAGTTTGCATTTAGACAGAGCTGATAACACAGGGACATTTTATGACTAAGCCTGTTGGTAGCTGAAAAATTCCATGTGTGAATTCTCAGATACCGCCAAAAACTGTGCCAACTTGTCCCACAGAGCCAGTGTAGCCTGTCATCTCAGAATACTAGAAGGAGTAGTTGAGCATGTGGATAAAGAGCGGGTTCTCTTCTCAGTCCAGGAAAGGCTGGCAGATATTGAGCATCTCAAATTTCTGTCTCCTTCTCACATGAAAATGCTGCAGTGCGTGACTGACTGGATATAGACCAGGCTGACTTTATGTTGGTATGGGAAATATTCGCTACGCCTATAAAAAAAAACAAAAAACCTCAGGTGTTTCTCACCATGTTCAACTTTACACCAGCTTTAAAAAGAAAAAAAATCAATCTGCTCAGTTTTTCTATTTCTACTTTCTGATTGGAAAATATAAGAGCCATGATTTTTTAAGGAAAAAATATTACTGTTAAAGTGGTTGTAACAGAACCGACCCAGTCTGTGTTTGGGTACTTCCATTATAATACCATTTCCCCGTCCGAAACACCGACCACAGACACCACAGCCGACCAAACAAGACTAGACAACACCAGTCTGTCTGATCATGGAACTCTTTATTTGAAACTCGAACTGGCTCTTTATACACTCAGGGGGCAATCCCCCCTCCCTGCATAATGGCACAGGGCAGGGAAATCCCCATTCAGTAACAAGAGACACACAGGTATTCAAACTTCACAACAGCAGACAGTCCCATCAGAAGGAAAGGCTGCTGGAGACACCCCCCCCCCCCCCCCCACTAAGCTAATACACATAAACACATACATCCCATAATAGTTTGCTCCCAAGCAAGACACACAATAGAGCAATGGGATGCAACCACATGGCATTAAACAATCAACAACCCCTCATCCCAATATTAGGACAGATCACCCTGTACCCCTAACAGGCACAGGGTGACTTACACATAATAGGGATATGGGGAGTTGAGACAGGGGTCTCCCCACCTCTATAAAGCGAGCTGGGTTTCATGGGCCCCCCACCCAAAGTGACTCCCGTCACAGTGGTGGTATTTGCTAAATACACTATGTGACCTGACCATCACACCTACATGAGCTTTTGGACATCCCATTCCAAAACCATGGCCATTTGTATGCAGTTCCCTCCTGTTTTTGGGGCTATAACATCCTCTGCTCTTCTGGAAAGATTTACTACAAGAGCTTGGAGCGTGTTTGTGGGAATTTGTGCCCTTTCAGCCAAACAAGCATTTTTCAATTCAGGTAATGATGTTAGACAAGAATACTTGGCTCATCATCGGTGTCCTAACTCATCCAAACAGTTGTTTCAGTAGCGTCGAGATCAGGACTCTACGTAGACCACACAGGCTCCCACACCAAACTCATCAAACCATGATGCCTTTATAGACATGACTTTATACACAAGGACATTAGGATGGAATTGCCCCTTGCTATATTGGCCTCCACTCTTCTGTTGAGGCTTTCTGCAAGATTTTGGAGTGCATCTATGAGAATTGCACCTATTCAGCCAAAAGAACATTTGTGAGATTAGGTACTGATGTTGGCTGAGAAGACAATCGCAAAGGTGTTCAGCTTTGCTGGTCAAGTAATCTGAAGCAGTTAATAAGTAATCAATATGATTCATCCTGTTCCTTGCTGAGCATTCTCCACCTCCATGGTATGATAAATATAGTGAATGTTACATGCAGGGAACTTGCCTATAAAAAACAATTGTATAATATGTTACGGTAGACTAAACTTGCCCTTTCTGTGGAAAAACTGTACAGAAATGACACATAACTACACCCCGCAGGTTGTTTCATGTTCAGGAGATATAATCTACACTTGACGTCTTGACATGAAACATATTTTATCGACCTGCTGAACGCCAGACATGTATGTTAAGCGAGTGTATGTCAACGGTTTATATGTTTAGGTATCAATGTCTTATAGTCATGAATAAAGAGGATGATTAGCAACCTTTAGATGCCATTTAAGTTTTATTGACCTTTTTGACATGATCCCTTACTATATACACTTTAACCACTTCCCGTCCGGCCCATGTATATAAACGGCTGGACGGGAGCAGTGCAGGGGAGGGTGGCCTTTTATAAACGTCTTCCCCACTCCCTGCTTGTGCACGCTCCCTGGGAGCCCTCCCGCAGCGGAACACTGAACGTTGTACGGGACCTCTGTGTGAGGTCCCGATCATGTGATCACTGATTGGCCAATCTGTGATCACATGAAGAGTAGTAAGCAAGATGTCACTTCTGAAATTGCTTACTTCTAGTGAAATCTGTGAATGATCACAGAGATCACATGGTACAAGGCTATTCACAACAGCCTTGTACCATGTGACAAGCTGTGACCAATCACAGCCCCTTTCATATAAGCATTCTGTCAGTCCATTTTTGATCTGTGATTACACGGTGCATCCTTATGGGTGGCCACCTATATCTGTGCACATCTGTATGTGTCCAGGCTCTCTGGACTGAATGCAAAATTGTTTATGGCCAGATCTGCTTTTATGGACCTGAATGGATGTGGACAGGTATAAGCGGATGCCTGTCTGCCTATATCAGAGTTGTCTGTTTTCCATTAGAGAAGCAGATGAGTCTGTTTTTCCTCCATCACATTGGAAGGAAAATTAGAACAGACATGGATGTCACATATGTGATATTGGTCTCCATTCAGATCTGACTTGCCAGGGGATAAGTCTAGGATCCCCTTCTGAGACAGAGTGGATGGCGCCTATGTGAAAGGAGTGTGAGACATCAATTGGGCTTTATGTTCTGGAACAAGAACTGTATGTGGATAAGGACTTCTGACTTTTTCCTGACTTTACATGTATGTATATTTACTCCAGGTCAGTGATTCATGAGGCACTAAAGCTGAAGGATCAGCATAATAGTCAGGAAACTAGCATTTTCAGAAAGAGGGCATCAGCGGCAGTCTGATCAAACATTTAGCAGTGCCATTGGTTACTATTGTCGCATTTCCTGGAAGGATTGTTTGTTAGCATTGTTCTTCAAAGCTTTGGACTTCCCCTTGTATTCAAGGACAGTTCGTATCTATGATATACAGTAACGCTGGCTTCCTGGTATTTACATTTCTGCTTTTTTAGACATTTCACACCTTCTTTGAACTGACTTTGTAACTTTCTTGTAGAAAAATTGCTGTAGATCCAGATTGACAAGCCATGTAAAAAAAAAATTAAAGGATCATTCCATGAAATTTTATGTAAGGTTTTGTTTTGGGTAGATGACAACACCTTGTAGATTTAGTTTGATTATATAGTTATTTTTGCCTTCCTAACATTCATTTGTAGCCCATCATTACTTATTTTATTCTATTTTTCTTTTTAATTTTAGGGGTATCAAAATGTGAAAGAAATGAGTTCCACTGCGGAGATGGCAAATGCATTCCATACAAGTGGGTCTGTGATGGCAATGAGGAGTGCAGGGATGGATCTGATGAGTTCCCCGAGACATGTCGTAAGTTCTGGGACACTGTAATGGAGGGTGGGGTACAGGCAATAGAAAAAGTTCAAATTAAAATTCTTGAAATTATTATAGATCAACTTCTTATACACTGTGGGTCTCTTCTCAGGAACTGTAACTTGCAGTGCTGAACAGTTCAGCTGTGGTGGGAGGACGAACCGATGTATCCCCCTGTCATGGAAGTGCGATCATCAGGAAGACTGTGAAAATGGCTCAGATGAGAAGGACTGCAGTATGTATTTATACAAATTGACTATGCATATGTGTTATCACATTCTGCATGCCAGTCCCAAGCTCAAGCAATTGGTAGGGTTGGGAACAGACTTGGTGACCTACCTCATAAAAATGGCAAAGTTGTATCGAATTATTACCATAATTTTCTTTTCCTGGTGCCAGTCAATGGCAGCATACATGTGGAAGTGTGCCGCCATGTTGGCACCAGGAAAATTGTATCAAATACTTACCCTGGTTTTCCTTTCCTGGCACCAGTCAATGGCAGCAGGCAGAATACATGTGGTAGTATGCCGCCATGTTGGCACCAGGAAAATTGTACCAAATACTTACCATAGTTTTCCTTTCCTGGCACCAGTCAATGGCAGCATACATGTGGTAGTATGCCGCCATGTTGGCAGCAGGAAAATTGTATCAAATACTTACCATAGTTTTCCTTTCCTGGCGCCAGGCAATGGCAGCATACGCGTGGTAGTATGCCGCCATGTTGGCACCAGGAAAATTGTATCAAATACTTACCATAGTTTTCCTTTCCTGGCACCAGTCAATGGCAGCATACATGTGGAGTATGCTGCCATGTTGGCACCAGGAAAATTGTATCAAATACTTACCATAGTTTTCTTTTCCTGGCGCCAGTCAATGGCAGCATACACGTGGTAGTATGCCGCCATGTTGGCACCAGGAAAATTTTATCAAATACTTACCATAGTTTTCCTTTCCTGGCGCCAGTCAGTGGCAGCATACATGTGGTAGTATGCTGCCATGTTGGCACCAGGAAAATTGTATCAAATACTTACCATAGTTTTCTTTTCCTGGCGCCAGTCAATGACAGCATACACGTGGTAGTATGCCGCCATGTTGGCACCAGGAAAATTTTATCAAATACTTACCATAGTTTTCCTTTCCTGGCGCCAGTCAGTGGCAGCATACATGTGGTAGTATGCTGCCATGTTGGCACCAGGAAAATTGTATCAAATACTTACTGTCATTTTCCTTTCCTGGTGTCAATCCATGGCAGCATACTACCACATGTATACTGCCATGTTGGCACCAGGAAAAAGGCTTTCAACCATATCAGAAAAGCTGGCCCATAGAATTGCAGAGCTGAATACAAATGAACGGATGTATAAAATCACAGTTGAAATACTTATATGGGAGTTGTTGTACCTGGCGATTGGTATTTCTGTCTATTTAGTTTTGAGATTTAAAAAAGCGCTGCCACACAGCACCGCCCAATCTCGCAGAGCAAGGGACCTGATTCTTCTGCTAAAGTTAAATAACACTTACAGGTCTTGTCCCTCCCCCAGCCTGGGACTGGACAGTGAAAAGAGAAGCAGCAATCTGATGAGCTCATCTCTCTGTCACTCTTCTCTGTGATCCTATCAGCATGCTCCTTGTTAGTACATGAGCACTACAGCACAACTGCCTGGCTACTTCTCGCTCTCCTACTCTGCGCTTAGCTGTACAGGGGCTTGGAAGAAACTGATACAAGGTCATATTCATATAAGCATGCTGCTTGCATTAAAAAAAATACATTTAATGATGTAATAATGAATACAGGGCTGCATTCGTTTGTGTCTTTTATACCTGCCTGGAGTTCCATTTTGATCATATCAGCTGCATTTGGAAATAACTTATAAAAGATTATGCTAACTGTTAAACGTGTGTATCATGTTAAAGAGAAGAGCTTGACATGTTACATCATATAACATCAGTAGTGAGCAGGGGCGGACTGACCATTTGGAAACTCGGGCACTGTCCGAGGGCCCGGGGTCAGTAGAAGGCCCCATGAGATGCCCCTGGTACCTTTTTCATAGGTTTTTTGAGTTTGGGCAAGGACACAGGGGCCCCATGATCCCCTATTGCCCGGGGGCCCCATGAGTTGTCAGTCCGCCCTTGGTAGTGAGTGTCTTGTGATGGTTTATGCGTGTGTCTAACTGGCCTGTCTCATTTGCTGTAGCTCCCATGCCTTGTGCCTCAGATGAACAGTTTCAGTGCAAGAGTGGAATGTGTATCTCTCTGGAATATGTATGCGATGACGACCGTGATTGCGATGATGGTAGTGATGAAGAAAATTGCCCAGTCCCAACCTGCAATCCGAACTTCTTCAATTGCAAGAACTCCACTTTGTGTATTCCCAAGCTGTGGACCTGTGATGGAGATCCAGACTGTGAAGACAGCTCAGATGAGGAAAACTGTGAAGGGAAAGAGCCAATTAAGACTGACAAACCCTGTTCCAACCTGGAGTTCCACTGCGGCAGTGGAGAATGCATACACATGAGCTGGAAGTGCGATGGAGGGTTCGACTGCAAGGACAAGTCAGATGAAAAGGACTGTGGTACGTACTGGAGGCCAATATGACCACTATGGCCAACTTGCTGATGAGGGACAAAAAAGTGATATAGTGGCTAATTTTAAAAAACAGTGATATAGTGGCTAATTTTATGCATCTTTTGTACTTGCAGAAAAACCAACTTGCAGCCCGGATCAGTTCCAGTGCAATGATGGAAAGTGTATTCATGGCAGTCTGCAGTGCAACCAAGAATATGACTGTGATGATCATAGTGATGAATTTGGATGTCGAAATGGTAAGGATCCAATATGTTTTGTTTGTACCTAAATAATTTTTTTACAGTACCAGCATATTCCCCAGTGCTTCCCAAAGAGGAGCCTACCACTTAAATACACTTCAGTCCCAATCACTGAATGAGTTCACAATATAGTGACCCCACCACAGTCCTACAGACACATATTGGCGCCAATAGAATGTGTGAGCCAGTTAAACCAGTTGTACGGTTAACCCCTTTACGCCGACCGCACACAAATGTGCGGCCTCCCGGTGGTTGGGCCTAGACACCGAGCGGCCGCACATTTGCGTTCATGTAAGAAAAAAACATATGTGCTGAGATCACGCGCCCTGCGCGCTCCCAGCACACATGTCCGGTACTCACGGAAAGGTCCTGGTCTGCTCTTTTGATCGGGACCTTTCCCGATCATGTGCCCACTGTGACGACGCGTCACAGTGGTCACATGATCCCTAAACCACGCCCCGCCCGCTACGCCTCCTGGCTTTTGAAACTCTTAAAGGGCCGGGAGGCGCCGGTGGGAAGGGGTTAAGGATTTGAAGAGAGGGCTGGAGCTCCAAGAAGTAACCCAGGCTTATACATGGGACATATACAAATGCCAAACACATGGAGGCGTATTCAGGGGTGTATTTAGGTTTGGGTTTTGTGCTGCCCTAGGCAAATCAAAAATTGGTGCCCCCCCCCACAGAAAGAGCCTGACATTGACCAAGAACATCCATTCCCTCAACCCGAGCCTTCCACTACCACTGCCCCTTATACACCAGCCACCATCCCCCATGGCGAGAGAGAGAAAGACACTCACCTTCACAGCTCTGGACATCCCCAGGAACGAGATTCAGGCTTGCATACACCATCATAAAACCCACAGCTTCTTTCGGAACCCACCAGATCCCCATGCTGCATGTGTCCCTTCTTCCATCCCTTCTTCCAAGGAGTAGTGCTGCCCCCCCCCCCCCCGGAAAATGCCGCCCTAGGCAAATGCCTTGTTTGCCTTGTGGTAAATACACCCCTGGGCGTATTTATAAAGTGTTGAAGGTGACTTTTACCAACTATTCACCGGTCATGAATCAATCACTGTCATTTAAAACACATGCACCAGGTTCACCTGCAGTGAATGTTTAGCGAAGGTCAACTTAACCACTTTATAAATATGTGCCATAAGGGGAGATTTACTAAAACTGGTACACCCAAAATCTGATGCAGCTGTGCATAGTAAATGATCAGCTTCCATGTTTTATTGACAAAGCTTAACTGAGCAAGCTGAAGTTAGAAGCTGATTGGTTACTATGTACAGCTGCACCAGATTCTGTCTGCTCCAGTTTTACTAAATCCCCCCAAAAATCTCTGATGGGAAATGACCCCAGGACCTCAAAACAATTACCTCACATCTGTTTTTATACCTACCTATTCTGCACGGCTATAATCTGTTTTTCTTTTTTCCTTTAAGTGACAAAATGTGAGGGTCCAAACAAGTTCAAGTGTCACAGTGGAGAGTGCATCAGCATGGACCAAGTGTGTAATGGTGTGCGAGACTGCAGAGACTGGACTGATGAGCCCCTGAAGGAATGTGGTGAGTCTCCCATTTGTACAGTAGATGGGTGCAGGGGCGGACTGACCATTTGAGCACACGGGCACTGCCCGAGGGCCCGGGGTCAGTAGGGGGCCCCATGAAATGCCCCTGATACCTTTTTATAGGCTTTGTTGTGTTATTTCACCTTACTTCTCTGCAGTTTCTTAACAGACTTTGGCTTTCAACTCACTGACACAAATATCTCCATTTTCTCCTGAAGGTGAAAACGAATGTCTGAAAAAACAATGGTGGATGTTCTGATATCTGCAAAGACCTTAAGATCGGTTATGAGTGTTTATGTGAAGAGGGCTATCGGCTCCTGAATGGAAAGAAATGTGAAGGTAATTGGGGCTTTCTATGACTATTAATTGCCATCATACAACCACACCTGTACTCGAAGTAGCAGGTAGCAAGGTGCCATCAGGATGGGAAGTGAAATCTCCATTAGGGACTGTTTATTGTGCACATGCCTTGAAATTTGTACATTTCTAAAATATAATTCTGCTTTGTTTCCTACAGATATCGATGAATGTGAACAACCTGACATTTGTAGTCAGATTTGCATTAACCTTGAAGGAAGTTACAAATGTGAATGCGAAGAAGGCTACCAACTAGATCCAGCAACCGGCTCCTGCAAAGGCATTGGTAAGTACCTCTAAAGGACACCATTTGTTGTTTTTAATGGCTGAGCTGTGGCATCCCACACTGCACAGAAATTACATTGTGAAGACATCTTTCTAAGGATGCCACATTGTTCTCTTTCTAGGGACAGTGGCATACCTGCTCTTTACCAACCGTCATGAAGTGAGGAAGTTGACACTGGACAGGAGGGAGTACACCAGTTTCATCCCTCGTTTGAAAAATGTGGTGGCTTTAGATATGGAGATATCCAACAATAGAATCTACTGGTCTGATCTATCACAGAGGAAAATTTACAGGTAAGGCATGAAGGACTGATATTATGGGAATCAACTAAAAAGAGTTGTACTGCAAAGATTAGAATGAATTAATTTCCTCTGTCTATTCCTCTGCAGTGCCTATATGGACAAGGCTCATAACTTTTCTCACCATGAGACTGTGATTGGGAACGAGATCCAAGCTCCAGATGGTATTGCTGTAGATTGGATCCATGCCAACATCTACTGGACAGACTCTGTCTACGGCACCATTTCTGTGGCCAACACACTTGGAACCAAGCGTAAAACTCTCCTCAGGGAAGGTCTAGTTAAGCCACGTGACATTGTGGTGGATCCCACCAAAGGGTAAGGCATTTTTACCCTTTTTTTCTGTATAATAGCTGATATTCTAGCTTCCATAGTACATTGATTTCATTTTCTGCAATACACTGGAAAATTGCGGCTACATTTTGATTGGTTGATATAGACAGAACCTCTATCACTGCAGTAGAGTAGTCACAGTACTGCACATATATATAAAGTGAGGGTTGAAAATCACTGTTTAATTGTGGAACCAGGGAATGCAGCCTATTGGCATATGTTAAAAGCCAAAAAGACATGTTTTCTTTCCAAAAAGCAATGGAGACCTGTGATTTGTCCAGTCCTGATAAGAAAGCCTTATCCTCATTCTAGGTGAAGGAGGAAATCAAGTTACTGTCAACCTTTTTTCTTTTAACTATTTTAACTAACTTATCCCATTCCCTTGCCAAAGAGCATGGGACTCATGAGTGCTGGTGCCTCACGATTAGCTCAGTGCTCTTACATGGGGAGTAGGGAAGGGTACAATAGCTCTGTACAGGCTTTGACAAGTCAGTTTGAAGGCTAGTGGGGAAAGGTGAACTGTTGGTGGGGAGCGAAGATGTTAGGTGACCCTTTTACTTTGTCCCATTTGAATCTCTAATGCACTCAACTGCCCTGACAGATGTAATTCCATATCCAACTGTAGTACTTCTGTTTTGTATACCGACTGTAGCACTAATCCTTCTTGTATATTTGTATTTCAGCTTTATGTACTGGACTGACTGGGGTTTCCCTGCAAAGATTGAGAAGGGAGGCCTAAACGGTGCTGCCAGACAGACTCTTGTTAGCGAGAATATTGAGTGGCCTAATGGCATTACTCTGGGTGAGTGAGTTTTACTATATATCTGTAGGCGTCTCTCACATAGTATATGGATGTTTAATGGGTGCTTAATAATACCTTGATGATTAAACATATGTCAATATTTTTTGTTTACCTTTTAGATATGATCAGTCAGCGGTTGTACTGGGTGGATTCCAAACTGCATACTCTATCTAGCATCGATGTTGCTGGTGGAAACAGGAGGATGGTCATATTCGATGAAAACCACTTAGCTCACCCTTTCGGCCTCACCATCTTTGAGGTGAGATTAAATCTCTATTGATAGTTTAAGAACATTTGCTTCTTGCCTTATCAAATCTTGACTGTTTATTTTCTCTAACAAACTGGTTAGATGGGAATAGACATAAGCCAAAAAGCTATCAGTTATTTTTGGGCTGGTTGGAAGATTCTATCATTCGTGGATTGAAACACCTTTGTATTGCCTCCCCACCTGCCTGGGTCACTGATGTCCCTCAGTTGTGGTCATCATCTAGAACATCATACCTAGGCAGTTAGATGTCGTAAAGTTAAAGTCCCGGGCAGATGGTTCTACAGGTGTATCAGCAGCCAACCAATATATAAAAAAAGGATTACACTTTGAAGTCTTGTCACATTTGTAGCCAAACCAAAAAAGACTATTCAGCATTTTCCTGTCTCTGTCAATATTTGCATGTTTATCTTTGTCTGGTATCACCCTGGGTCACAGGTTGTACTGCTCTCATACAAATATTCGCTATCTTTTGGTCATTTTCTTTGGTCTGACTTTTCAATAACCTGCATCTTTTTTTTTTTATTTCTTAAAGGATCTGGTGTTCTGGACCGATATTGACAATGAAGCTATATTCAGTGCCAACAGACTGACTGGAAGTCAGATAAGAAAGGTCGCTGAAGGCCTTCAATCCCCGGAAGACATTGTCCTGTATCACAACCGAGGACAGCCTACAGGTATGATGAAATTCAGCTTGAGTTGTGACGGTAGAGTGGAAAGTAAAAAAAAAAAATATAATGTTGCAGCACTTAAATTGCACCATAAGAAAAGGGGGGTTTTATAATGTCCTGGAAAGCAATGGCGTCCTGACTGGGTTTTTTGCAGGAAGATGGCACATGTTGTAATGCATGACAAGACTCTGAGGTTAAAGTGTCACTAAAGCCTAAACTAGAGAATTATGAAAGCCACTTTTTGTGTGTCCTACTGAAGGACATATCTTTCGCTTGTCTTGTAGACACAAAAGGAAGTGAGAAGAACTCTCTACAAAGTGAGAGAAATCCACTATTGAACAGTTGTCACCAGAACAAATGTCTATATCATTTCCCTCCTATTCCATTTCTTGTGACAGCTTAACATTTTGGATTTTGCCTCATTTTCAGTTCTGGTGAGGACAAATGGAGATGGTGAATCTCCTTTTTGGGGACACAGACAGAAATCAAAACATGACATTGTGTCTAGCCCCCAAAGTCCTATCTAAAACAAAGAATAAAATAGTTTTAGCTTTAGCAACACTTTAAGGGGAATGTCTCCCAAAACTGGTGGAATGCTTTGGAAAGAATAACTTTTCTATGCAGTTAAGTTTAATTGAATTTCATTTTCTTTCTTCTGTGACCTTCAGGTGACAATTGGTGTTCCTCTCACCACCTTGGCAACGGAGGTTGTGAATACTTGTGTCTGCCCGCTCCACAAATCGGCACTCGTCCACCTAAGTACACATGTGCTTGCCCTGATGGAGAACACCTTGGTCCAGATATGAGGAGCTGTGTGAAAGGTAAGTTATGAAATATGATGTCTGCATACTAGTGAAAGCTTTCTCTGTGAGTGCTTTGTAGACATGTCCAGGACTGTAACAAATGTATTGGTTGTCTCTTCAGAACTTGTTACTCCACATGCCACTAAGTTCACCTCTCCTCTGGTTACGACAACGCCTTCCACGGTCACCACTCCCAGAACTACTCTCCTTGCCAAGATTACTTCTACACCAAGGAGGTCCACTACTGTGAAGCCTGAACAGCCAACAGCAAGGCCTAAGACCACTGTTTCATCTACCACAAGCCGACCAGTTGCTAAAACGGAAATGCCCCAGACTGCGAAAGCAAATCCTGATCTCTCTACCCCAGAACTTTCTACAATGTCACATCCAGGTAAAAGGCTCTTCCTGTATCTCTTGTGGTAGAAATCATAAGGTGTTCCTTAAGTACCAGGTGTAATCCAAGTTGTAGGCCCTCATCTAGGAAAAAGCCAGGTCTTTTCTCTTACACTTTCAGTGCGCAGGGCTGATTTGACACAGAGAAGAATAAAGTGTCTTCAAAGTTCATATCACTTCCTCTATGCCTCAGTCTGTTCCATTTAATTGCTTCCCATTTTTTCTGAGTGGGAAAAGTGTATTAATCAGTCCTGTTACTCAGAGGAGCTTGCAATTAAATTTCTTACATTTCTCTGCATCCTATAGAAAAGGTAATTGCAGTTCTGAATCATTCTCAGAAGAACTCTTCAAAACTTGCCTTTTTCAGAACATGGGCTGGAGAGCACCTGAGTTATGTGTTGGGAATGATAGTGGATTTTGTGGACAAATCATGCAAACATCATGCTATGAAAGCCAACAATGTGTGGGACATGAAACATTATAGACATTAAGCTGCACATCACTGAAAGCAAATATACAACATATCACTGACCTCTGTCATGTCTTTACTTCCAGCTGAAAATAACATTGATGTTAAGATGCAAACTACAAATTCCCATACCCAGTCCAATGCCATTTACGCTGTCATTCCTATTGGTAAGTTTTTCCTCTCATTTTTTTTGTTCCATATACACTTATAGCAGTATGATCTTTTTTATATTAGTGAAGCTGTTTATTGAACTGACCCAACAGATAGGCAACACAAACCATCGCTAAAAAGCTGATCTGGCCTGCCTACTGGTTGTTCATAAATCATCTGTGCAAAAGTCTTTGGTCTCTTCTATTACGTGTGTTGTGGCTTAGTTAGCAGCAGCAGTGGTGAAAATAATACATTTATCATCAGCCAAAACATTGGATTGCTTAAAGTATCATTTTTTGGATTGATTATCAGCAAAATTAGGCTGTTTTAAGATTATCTGGTAGCATGTTGACCAATGACAACTATTTTTTAATTCTCAGATATAGAAAAATCCAGACGTGAAAATATCATGACCATATGTGGTCAACACATATGTATGTGGTCAATGTATGACTGCATTCACTGTTCCCTGCACAGCCTGAAAGTTAGTTTTGACCAGCAAGCACCCACGTATGACAGATGTATGCCTATCTGTGCTGGAGCCCAAGTTAGACTAGGCATTAATGTCCATTTAGGTTTAGCGTCAAATATCGGCATGTCTTCTACAATTGTCCTTACGTTATGTAACAAACTTTTTCATATTTGTTAATGTGGTAGTCTATTACTGGGGCATGCCTCTTGGAGTGTTTCCTAGATAGGACTTTCTGGTTTGTTGATATTTTACAACTACAATTCTTCCGGTCTGTAACAAACCAACATCTCTTTCTTTATTTCCAGTAATAATCTGCCTGTTGGCTTTTGGAGGCTTCCTGTTATGGAGAAACTGGAGGTTAAAGAACACCAACACTATCCACTTTGACAATCCTGTGTATCAGAAAACCACAGAAGATGATGAGATCCACATATGCAGAAGTCAGGATAGTGGATACACATACCCATCGGTAAGATATTGATATTGATTTTGATTTTCTGTTTGTTCTTCTGTTCAGTTAGCCTAGAATATTTCTACAGCTGGCAACTATTATCCCACAACCTAGCCTTCTAGAGCATTCTTGCTCAACCTTTTACTGCAGAAGAACCCCTAAAATAATGTTCAGGCCTTAGGGAACCCTTATCAAAACCAGTGAATCTGGGGTCAATGGAAAAACATTGGTGGTAAGTAGGAAGAATGCGACTGTGACGGAAGAAAGGCAGGACAGAACACACAGAGTGGATGGCAGATGCACAAAGCTTTATTGAGACAAACAGACGGCAGTCCTTCAATACGGGGGTGGCAGAGAGGGTGGATTTGCCACTAAATGGTAACGGGGGGCCCCACCCACCCCGTTACCAGCCAAGGGGGTGTCCCTGTAACAGGGGTAGTCCGACACAGGAGAGGGGTGCGAGGAGTCACCACCGCAACAGTTCAGGTAACAGTGGGGAAGCAGGTACTCATGGATCCAACAGGGTGCCTGGTCTCCCAGGTACCTGTGGAGTCCGGAACAGGCGGGTGACCTCTGGCAGACGGGCTGTGGTAGTCTCTCCCCCTTCTGTGGGGTCTCGCGCAATCACAGGCAAGCTTTCTCTGGCTGCCTCTTCCCACCTGTGTGGTCTCTGTGAGGCTGGGGAGTAGACTTGCAGAGTCTAGTCAGAAAGGTCTCGCCGGAGCTTGAGATCCTTTGCTGACTGCACACCGGAATGAATAGCGGAGCTCCTAGCATCAGCCTCTTAAACTGCTGCAGGATGCTACCGGGAGGGGGGGAGGTAATACTAGACCCCAGGGAGAATCAGACTGGTTACAGGGACATCCTGGGGGGCAGGGATGATGTCTGCATAGATGAAAAGTTGGGAGATGTGCAGAGAGCTCCCAGCCAGCTGGCCGGGAGGGAGGGGGCCCAGAGTAATTTGATTAGGCCATTTGGCCTAGTGACACAGGGGACAATTGGAACAATACAGAGCAGGACTCTGAGGGCATGTGATACAAGGCATTAATAAGGGGATTAATAATTGGTAGGCTCCCATACCGTGACAGCGACCCTTACTGTGGTACTCAGAATGCCACCTTTATAGACAGATAAAAAAATCATTAGTGTCCTGCTGCTGGCTTTGCCAAGTGGGCTTGGTCCATATTCAAGCATCATTAAATAGGAGGTCATTCAGCCACAGCTCAAAGAACCCCTAGTAACCTCTGAAGGAACCCTGAGAATGGCTGTCCTAGAGCACCCATTCTTAAGTAAGGTTCTCCAAAGTTTGGTAAGGGTTTCCTGAGCTGTGTCTCATTGAGCTCCCATCTGATGGTGCCTGCATAATCCAGAATCCTATGCCACATGGCAGGGCCAGCAGCCTGACACCAAATCTCTTTAACTTGCTGTTTACAAGGGTGGCATTGTGACCACCACTGTATAGGGAGTATTCTTGCCCCTGACCGACAAAATATTTTTAGGTGGGGTTGCTTAACAGTTTTAGCAGGAGTTTCTATGGACTAAGAGTCAGCTGTTGTGAAACTACATTTCCCATGAGGCATTGCAACATTACAAAACTGACAGTTACAGCTATAACTTGCAGAGGCATGATGGAACTTGTAGTCCTGCAACAGCTGGAGAGCCGCAGGTTGCCTACCCCTTGAGAAAAGCATTCCTAGAACTATTAAAATCCATATACAACAGGGTGAAATAACATGACACGACAGGCAGGCTTTAAAAATATGGTAGGTTGTCCTTTTGATCATCCTTCCAAAACACACTAAAACCCTTATTACTAAATAAGAGGCCATTGGCTTAGCTTTACTACCCGTTTTCTTTTCAGAATGGAACTGTTTATGTCAGTTGAGGTTGCCTGATCTCAGCTCCCTAAGCAAAGTAGAGTAATAATTGGTTTTTTTAATATAATGTTTTACTTATTCTATGCTGAGTATTTTGCCAACTGTTAATTCAGCAATTCTTGTTAACTTTTCAGAGACAGATGGTGAGTTTGGAAGATGACGCTGCTTGAACAACCCTTGACCACTGTGCCTAACACCAAAACTCTGCTGCTCAAATATGTATCGGGGGCAATGACTGCTAAGCAACCAAAAGATACCTGTCCAAACCACTGCGCCAGCTGGCACAGCCCAGAGATTTTCCAGATTTATTATTATTGTTTTTTTTTTTTTTTTACAAACTAAATGGTCTACTATGTACATAAACATTAGTTACAAATTTTTGGGTTATTTATGAAGTCGTGCCAACTACCCACCCTGGTGCCTCTTTCTGCGATGTGAAGAGTTCTTTGAGCCATGAAGGAGAAAACTTGATGAGGTGTCTGAAGGGACGGGAAGAGACTGGAAGTTACATTAAAAAATAATAATAAAAGCACTGGGGGACTATGAAGGACTGAATGTGACCTACCTGCTGGGGTTTATTTTTGTTTGTTTTGTTTTAAAAGCACAAAACCGTTCTTAAAAAAACACTAAAACGTGGAAAAAAAATATTCAAACTGGAGGGAAAAGAAGGAACAATGCACAAAGTTTTTTGTAGAGAATAGTGTATATCGAGATCTCCTCAGGGCGTCGATGTGTTTACTGCCTTGAGGTTTAACTCTTGGGGTCGGAGTAAAGCCATTTTGATCCAGGCTCAGCATTCCCGCTACAATGTAGCAAGCCGAAACAGGCCACCAATCACCCAAAAGTGCCTCGTCTTACCACCATCCTTTGCTTCTGATCCTGTTTCTCTGAAAAAAAAAAAAAAAAAATCCACGTACCTCCGCTTGCACTTTCTTTGTTCTTCGTCTCAAGTGTTCTGTATATTATTTTGAAGCATATTTTTTTTTATATTTTGGCTTTTATTTGCACAGCTTTATATTGTTCAACGTCATGCTTGGCCAACTGCCTGTATCCAACAGGGTATGACGGCAGACAAAGAAAACGAAAAAGTTTTGAAGTATGGAACCTGGAAAAGTTTTGGCTGTTTCTTAAGCTTTAATGTTCATTTTTGTATCGGTTACATGAAAACAGAAACTGTTGAAAGTGGTGCTACCTACAAGAGAACTGTGAAACAAGACGTTCAGCCTGCTCTTTGGCAACCAATCTGCCTTAATTTGCAAGTGGCGCAAAAAAAAAAAAAAATCTTTTTCTTCTATACTTGAAATCACTTTCATGGCTGCACGCGATATCGCCACCACACCAAGGCCTTATCTTATCTTCGCTTACCTCTCTTTATCTCTCTGCCTGTAGAAATTAGCCAATCTTTTATTACAGTATTGAAATCAAAACAATCTGCCTGAACCTGTAAAGAGATTTTGTTTTTGTTTTTTGTGAAGGGTGTAAATATTAATTTATGTACATATTGTCATATTGCATACGGTTTTGCTGTATATACATGTATTGATTATGTCACAACTGGGAAAAAAGAAGTTTAATATATAATTTATTTATTTGTTCAAATCCTTTGAGTCTTGTGTTTTTATTTTATGGGTAGGCGTGGAACCATTAAAATGCAACAAAAGATACATATACTATATGGCCAAACGTTTGTGGACCCCCTATCATGACACCTATATGAGTTCTATGGACATCTCGTTCTTGTTCAATGGATTTTATTCAGTATTAGGCCCCTTTCAGACAGGACGGACTCTGTTCCAATCAGCAAGGGATCCTCTTACAGTTCCCCTGCTGATCAGAGCAGAGGAAGCAGATGACAGATCTGTGTCCATTCAGTTTATGCAGAGCGGACATGGACTGAGCCCTGCTCAGGTGTAAAGAGACTCCACTGCCTGTTTACATCCAACTACCCTCCAATCCGATCCTCTGAAATGGAAAAGGACGGATCCCCTCCCGTTTTTTTTTTGTTAGTGGACCAGATTAAACCTGGACGTAGGCGAGGGTAAACGGATACAAGTCCGTTTACACCTACCTGTTCATAGGGGCGAATGGACCATCCAATTTGGTCTGCCGGAAAAACTGATTGGTGGACCTGATCAGACTCGTCGTGTGAAAGGGACCTTAAGAGAAAGAGAGATTGAAAATCTTACATCATATAGTAGCGCATCATCATGTTGAGTACAGCACAGAGGTAGTAGATAGGTTATCTAGTTCAGCGTTTTTTTTTCAATTGTTTTTCAGTCACAGCTCACTTTAACCACCTCCCGCCCGCCATATAGTCCAATGATGGGTGCAAGGTGGTTCTTTTGTTCTGGGAGGACGTCATATGACGTCCTTCCATTCTCACCGCGCATGCGCAGCTCAGAGAGCGGACACAGCGGATCACTGATCACGGAAAGAACCGAAGATGTCGGCTCGGTCATGTGATCAGCTGTGTCCAATCACAGCTGATCACATGTAAACAGGGAAATGCCAGTTATCGGCATTTTTCTCTCCTCTTGAGCTGTCACACTTACAGCTCGAGAGGAGAGGAGAGCCGGTAATCGGCTTTCCACGGAGGGGACATGTACACTGATCATCAGGGCACTGATGATGAGTGTGCCCTGTGGCTGGAGCTGTTAGGTGCTGTGTGTAGGCAGCCCAACTAATGCAGGCCATAGACGGGGAGAAAACCGGACGTTTTTTTTTTGAAAAACGAAAAATCGGTCGTTCAATCAGCCGACGTTACCACCATTGGTAAAAAAAAAGTCGGCTGATTTTCGTCCCGTCTACGGCCGGCAATTAATATAATAGTGGTGCCCCTGCAGAGAGCTCCGCTATTATATTTGACATTTAAAAGAAGAGGAAATAGAATTTGAAAAAGAAAAAGAAGAAATAGAATATGAATAAAAAGAAGAAATAGAATATGCAGAAGAAGAGAAATAGAATAAGAAGAAAAAAGTTGAAACATTGTATGTATTTGTATCCATTTCGGATACAGATGTTTCTGTTCGGATACAAATAGATACAATGTTGCTATACTTTTAAATGTCAAATATAATATCGGACTGAAATTCTTATTTTTTCTTCTTCTTATTCATATTCTATTTCTCCTTTTCTTCTTCTTCTTTATATTCTATTTCTTCTTTTTGTTCATATTCTATTTCTTCTTCTTATTCATATTCTATTTTTTTCCTTTTTTATTATTTTAAAACTATTATTTTCCAGCAGGACCGATAATCCAAAAGGGCAAAAATCACAAAGAAACAGCCGACTGATTACCGCACTAACGATCCGAAAATTGTCGGGTTTTTTTTTTTCGGCCATTTTTCGTCCCATCTATGGCCCGCATAAGTCTATGTGGTCACAGGTTCTCATCCTAGTTTAACAGGTGTGCCGGGGAATAGATGGCTGTGTTCAGGACCACTGTCCCATGCCTGCATGTTTGTCAAATTAGGATAAGCGGCTGTGTCCCCATAGACCTTCATGGGCACCTGGTGGCTCCAGCCACCTAAACAAATGCCCAATTCCTGATGTATGGGCCTGTGTGCCTGTGGGCCTATGTGAATGAGTTAAAGCTAGTAATAGATTGTGTATATTTTGTCTGGTTCCTGAGGAAGCTCAGTGGGTGGCCCTGCTGTCTCCACTCTATTCAACTAAAGTCAATCATTCAACAGATTTTTTTTCATAGGTGTCTTCTGGAAAATTTTCATCCAATTGCGGCTGCATCCAATCAGATGCAGCCACATTTGGGGTATTTGGACAGCAGCGGGATCATTGTCCACCCCGCTGTATAGCATGGATGGAAGAATCTGTTCATTTCAGAGTATGGCCAGCCTACTGGAGCCATACTCAGCTGGATGGCTGGAGACCACCATGGGTCCACACCTGCATAGAAAATAAGCTGTCTAACAATTATATATTCTTGGTATGCTAACAGTGTTCAATATTATATTTTAAGCTAAAGAAGGTTTGTAGTTGGCAATTGGTAGTATTATCGTATGGGAACCATGAACAGGAAAATGTCTCCCCCCAGCTATATGAAGGCCAGTTTAAAGATGGACTTCAGGCAAGCCAGGATAACCCAATAAATATTCAAATTATCAGTAATTCTGTAGTATCAGCCTTGTGATCCAGGAATCAGTTGGAGACAGCACAGCCAAGTCCTTGACCTTCACCACAGCAGCAGCACAGCCTAGTCACAACTACGCCCCCAGACCGGACAATGGAAAAGAAGAAGCACATCAATGAGGTCATCAATGTGCTCACTCTACTCTCTACTGTCAGTGTCAGCACATGTACCCTGCACACACCTGAGTGGCAACCAGTGCAGGGGCAGACTGACAACTCATAGGGCCCCCGGGCAATAGAGGATCAGGGGCCCCTGTGTCCTTGCCCAAATTCAAAAAAAGCCTATGAAAAAAGGTACCAGGGGCATCTCATGGGGCCCCCTATTGACCCCGGGCCCTCGGTCAGTGCCCGAGTTTCCAAATGGTCAGTCCACCCTTGAACCAGTGCCTTCTCTCCCTCTTCCAGGGGGCTGATATTGACTACCTGCACTAGTTGCAGTTAAAATACATTTTGCATTAATATACATCTGTTTTCAGTTGAGTTTCTTTTATACCCGGGCCGCCTAGAAGCTTTGAAATTACGTTTGTTAATGTAACTGTAAAAATTGTTTTACCTAAACCAGCTAGTATGCTATATACAGATACGCAGTCACATTTTCAGTTTTGCATCTGTTACCTAAGTATATTTTCAATATTTTATTTGCCATATAGAATATTTTATGTACCGCAGCGTAAAGATATTCTTGTGTAAATACTCAAAAATGCTATATAAATATATGAATATATAAATATCCAAACTTGAATGTGATTTTTATAGCTTGAAATAATATTCAATTATTCAGATAAATATCAGTTTACTAGGAAATGGAGATGAATATGTCAAAAATATAGAGATGGACATAGAGTTCCCTTAAAAAACAAAAACAAAAACGGACATTTAAGGTACAAGTAGAAGTTGATGTGTATCCTCTTATATCTCCATTCTTATATCTCCAAGGGACGTAACGAATTAGGGCTGGTTCATACAAAGAATTGCACAGGAACACGCTGTGCGTTCTTTTGCAATTCACATCCAGTTCAGTTTG